TATTGACCACACTTCCTTTGTGGTTTTATTCATAAACAATTCCTTGTGAGCAATATACTTCAACCTCCTTATGACTTTCTTAGCACGGTTCCGACAACGACAAAAATTTCTCCAATTATCTAAAGTCCTATTTTGAAGATACGCCTTATATGCAGAATCCCTAAGGGAAACATGATAACGGATGTCAGAAGATTTAAACCAATCACTATTATTATTCTTATAAAATCTTCTTCTTATCGGAACAACTGTATGCAAACATTGAAGACCACAATTTAGTATATTTACCTGTGAATCAACATCTGTCACTGTAAACACTTCTTCAAATTTGCATAAATCCAAAGCATCCGAAATCGCTACTGGGTCAACAGAACTGTAGTCCGAATATTCATAAAACAGACGACTACGACAATTAGGAACATTGAGAGACAAAAATATAAACGAATGGTCAGAAATGCCAGGACAAGAGAATTGATTTGAACATGCTAACAAACTCAAATTCGACACAAAAAAATAATCCAACAAAGAAGTAGAATTGTGCGCAACATCGACATGTGTCGGCATTGAATTATGAACAACAGATAAATTCAAAAGACTACAAACATCACGCACCAATACACTTCGGTTCAAATCAAACATGTTATTGTTAAAGTCCCCCATAATGATGACATTGGAATACTTTACCACAAGGTCAGAAATTTCATCTTCCAAAGCCAATATATTACCATGAGGCAAATAAACAACGCCAATTAAGAAAACAATATTATTAACAATAGGTGTGTCTGGTTACTTTTCCTGCAGGAATTGTCCAGTAACTTCTTTCTGAGAGAGTAAGGTAGTTTTATTCTCTTTTGCAAGGAAAATGCGAAAAGTAAACAGACGGTATTCCTGCAGAAGCTTGCAACTAATCAGCTGATCAAATCAAAACAAACCAATTTGTCCCCCATGAGGAGAATTAAAACAAAGGAAGCAATACCAATTTTACAAGTTTTTTAAATAAAAATGTTAGAAATAGTCTTTTATTTTCTTATTACATATTAACATTTACGTTTTTCACATTTTGTAAAGTTTTTCTCCAAAAACTATTAGTCTTGCTAATTCCAAAAAAAAAAATTCAAATTGAAAGCACAAAAATAAATAAATAAACAATAGAAAACATCTGATTGAATGTCGATGAATGAGAAGAAGAAGAGTTGCAAGTGATTGCAAGAAGAAATTTTTCCAGCAAGAATTTGCAAACTCTCACTGAAAGAACTGTCAAAATTTCTCTCTCCAACCGCTCTCTTTTGCAGAACTTTTGGGTTAACAGACGACTTCCAGTAACAATTTGTAACAATTGTTACAAATTTTAGGGTAACCAGACACACCTAATAACCTCACAAAAAACATATTCAACATCACCATAAGAATTACCTCTACACACAAGTTTATGACTCATATTCTGTGCAACATACAAAACAACACCACCTCCTCTGCTACCAGGTCTATCACTTCTGTAAGAAATGTAATCTGGTATTTTTATGGCTTCGTTCGAAATTGTAGGTTTTAACCAAGATTCTGTCACGCCAAAAATATTAAGACCTTTCCCCTCTAAAATATTTCTGAATTATTATTACTTTTATTTTTTTCTGTAATTTAATTTAAAAATAACTCCTATGACAAAAAACAAAAGAAGTAACATAACCATGTAAGTTGGTTTTGACTGTTACAACAAAAACCCCTTCGTCGACCGTGCCTTTGGATGTATGTTTTGACAGAATTGAGGTACCAAAAGAAAAAAATTGTGTTTAGAATGTAGTTTTCTTCTATCTTCTGTAATTGTGCCATGGAGAATACATAATATAATTGTCATCCAAACATATATAATTAGACATTTTCACAAATTTTAAATTTGTTTAAAAAATTCAAACATCAATCGTATTTCACAACACCAGTAAACAAATGTATTTATATGATTGTTATCCAAATATGTCGGACCATGGTACAATAAGGAGGTGGAACAGCTTCGTAAAACTACAGAAATACAGCCCTGAGGCTATGCATGCTTCCTGCCAGAATTATTGAAAATCATGGCAAAAGAATACAGGTAGATGCATCAACGCTGGGAAACATTGCTATGTCAAAAAAATTCAAATGTTTTTTTTTTCAAATATAAGTAGATTTTTATATGTTTTCTTATACTACGTCATTCGGAAGCTATTATAATTCGCGTTTTTCAACAATTTTTACAAATTTAAATAATTTTTCATTCAACATTTTCAATTCCAAAATTGGTTTGACAGTTCATTGTCCCAGCAGCCGTGTCGACGCGTCTACCTATATTCTTCTACCATGTTCAAAATTATAGGCAACAATTTGTTTTTATTTATTTGGTGTTTTTTGTTCATTTCAAAATGAGTCATTTCAAAATAGCGTTAAAGATGAATGAAATTCTCTCAAAAATATGATCCTAAGTGTTCAATCTTTCAATTCCATTGCAAATCTGGTTAATATTATTATTGCGCGCCCCGCTATTTTAGTTTTGTTGTTTGTTTTTATTTTTCAAAACAACAAATACATACACAAAATTGGCAGAAGTCGGGCACACCAAAAAAAATTGTAATCAGCTGGACGTACAAAATTTCAAAGTTGAACACTTTCAAATTTGACAATAGAAACAATTCCTTTTTTGTGTGTTGAAAATTGAATAGAATATTACAAAAGAATGTGATTGCATAAGAAAACATTACATATGGCTGAATTAGAAAAGTATCAATTTCTACAACGGTTTTATTTGATAAATTCTAAGATAGGGATCTAGTATTTGGGTAATACGGACTTACAAAACATTTTACCATAGTGAGGAAGTTGAAAATTTGTGTACGCTATATCGAATTTTAGGCAACGCCGTAACTTCGTATTTAGCTTCTTCAGAAAATCACATTGGATTTGCAAGTATAATTTAATTTTTATGGGAACTTGTAACTTTAAAACACTTTCAAGTAATAAAAATATTGTTTTAATAACGAATATACAATTAAATTAAAAATTTTTGATCTTTTTTAATAATTAGACTGGTTTCTTCGTGAAAGTTCGATTTTGACTCTGCGCTCCTTTGTTCTTTACGAAGAAACCAGCCGATGATTTAATCCAGTCGAAAAGGCGAACTTTTAATATTTTCCACCATATGAAAGTAATTTGCAGCTTTCGAAAAAAAAATTCCGTTGAAAAATATTGCTAAATAATAAAAGAATATAGGCAGTTACCGTTATATTAGGGCCTACGAGGACCTGCATAGTTAATTTTCTGTCAAATATGGTAGTACCCATTAGGAATTTATATACGATATTTGATAAAATTCCGATGAATAATTTAGCTAAAATCATCAAAATACCTAATATAGGTATGACAAACTTAATATACCCTCCATTCCTCATTCATTCGTTCTTTCATTTCTCTAATGTTGCCACATTTACACTGAATGAGATTATTCCAAATCGATCGGAAGTGGAGAAGCTAAAACAAAAAAGATCGATTTTTAAATTACAGAATTTAAATCATTCCGATTCGATTTTTTGGCATGACAGATAATTTGTACTAATTTATTTTGAAAAATGCTTTGGTTCATTTTCATATATTTCAAAACATTGTATAGGGTAAGTGTGCCTAAGTTCGGCATGTCCCAGTAGTCGGCACTTTTTATTTTTAAGCCCAAATAAATGAAACTATTATAACTAAATATATTTTGTTTACTTCAAATATATTGCCAGCTATCTTTGTGCACAATTTCGCTAAGAAAAGATGAATTATTCTAATAAAAATTAAATTTTTGTCTGTGAAGGTCCTCAACAATTCATATTCTTAAGATAAGTACAATAAAGACGTCGTATCAGTTTAACTAAACAAAAATATTATATTTTAATGAATTACTTTATTATTATTATTATTAATTATTCTTACAAAAAAAAATTGGTATGCCGACTGTTGGAAAATGTCATGCCGACAATTGGCAAGTGGTGCCGACTACTAGCAAAAAAGCATTGTTTTAATAAAACTACAAATTTATGAAATTTAATAAAAAATTATTAAAACTTTATTTATTATTGCAAAAACTATACAAAATTTCGAATCTGAATAAATTAACTTTGTAATAATTGAAATGTTCCACTCAGACTGCCGACTACTGGTACACTTACCCTACGTTATAAATATCTAATTTCTCTGATTAGGATCAAACAAACCATTTACTTATAATTATTAATATCTTTATTTATTTGCAAGGTTATACAAGTAGACAAATTTACAATCATTCTTAAAGAATATATATCTACTCTTTATAATATATCATATGGATTTTTTATTAGTATGCGCAGTATACGTATATTGATAATTATATAATGCGAACGTCGGTAAAAAATTAAAACTTTATATATATAGAGTTGTTTGTTGATATCATGAACAAAATTGTATATATATATATATATATATATATATATATATATATATATATATATATATATATATATATATATGTAAAATTTTTAAAGTTGTTGTTTTAATATTTGTTTTTTTAATCAATAAAATCGTATACATAGGTTTACTAATATTGTTAGCCTTTGATCATACATTGTGTGTAATGTAAATAAAAAACGAATCTGTGCAGTGGAATAAATTTAGTTTTTAACAAAACTATCACACATGTTGTTGTCCGTTAAATATTTGTGTTTCATTCTTGAAGAATTTTTTTTATTTATTTGGATAAAAAATTGCCAATTTAATGATTGCAAGTAAATAATATGCTAAATAACTGTGTAAAACGTTTACTGTGTTCAGCAGGGAGTTTATTGTTATACAAATAACATTTTTGCACCAGATGTCGTATAAAGGATTTTAAATTTTTGTTTGTATTACTATATAATGCAAACTACCACAACCGTTACATGTTTTTTTAAATAAATCTTCATTTAAATTCATTATTGCTAATATTGGAAAAGACAACCTAGAAGTTAAATGATGATCATAAATTTAGCACAACACAAAAAGCATAATTTTAATTTTACTTTGTAAAAATAGTTTAATTATTTTTAATGATAAATGAAATTGTACAGTATATATATTTTATAAAGGCAACCTACAGTAGTTTAAGCCCTATATGTTTTATGTTGCTAAAATGTGTTGAACAATTGTGTAATATGTAGAATGCATTTCAATAATTTACTACATATTACCAGGAAATGCAAAATGCAGCTTCTTATCGTTGTTTCATTGTCAAACGGCATATGTTCAACTTTATCGTACTGATGAGTAAACGTAATGTTTATTTATCCTATGCAATTTTTCTACACAAATATTTTAATCCAGGATTCTACGATTTTATACAACATAAAACTTAAGAAATATATACCTAATATGTGAAATATATTTTGCTATTGCTTTATACGAAGTCAATCGAACAATTATTTTGATTTTGATGGTTAATGTGAATGTTATTGCTGGTAATTTAGTTGCTAAATGGAAGAATATTTTGATTTCCGCTAAATTTCTATGCTTGTTGATAATTTCACTGCTTTCATTTTATTTCTGAAGGTTTAACTGTAATTTTAGTTGTTATGTTTTTTACGAATCGGTTCACCTTAGCGGGTTCCGATTCTTTAAACGTTAGCGATTCCGTTTAGTTTTTCTGCTGACATTTCCCTCGATGATGATCTGTAGATATTTGAGAGAAAGATACGTTTGATTGGATTACACAGGAGTTATTACCTAACATATGCACAGTGGTCGAGGTCGTATGGGAACAGCGGCCAAAAATACTTTCAGTGCAGATATCAATATGAATCTTTGGTTATGGTACATTGATGGGATAAAAATAAAAAATGTGACAAAATGGATATGGTCGAGGCATGTTTTGGCATGGTCCCCTTACAACGTACCTCCCGAATAAGGGTTATTTGCCCAATTTTCGTCACATTTTTACACTAGATTGTTCTGTTATTTGACATTTTACGTTCTAAAGACCTAAAAATAGTCTTGCTGAAAATTATTTGGAACGGCCCGCCTTCAGGTAGAGTCCCCCTGTAAAGGTACCTCCAAAAATAGAAGTATTTTTATACAAATCAATTCCAAATTTGATTATTTTTTTGTAAACAAAATAGACAATGTTTTTGTAAACAAAATAAACAATTCAATATAAAACTAAATCAAAGTTACTAATGGATATATATACATTTCAGTGTTATTCAAGTAAATAAAATGCAGATTTTAATAATATATTTTATTGCTTGGTAACGTTCGCTGTCCCGTTATAAAAGGGTCAGATCTCAGAAGGAGACGTTTAATAAGATCTGTGTTTGTTGAAACACGAGAATTTTTTCGGGTATGATTTAGTCGAAACTTTTTATATCTTTGTTGCCAGACCTCGCGGCCTCCCTATAATTCTCCAATCGATACAATGGCATATTTTATAATGTCGGGAGCATGTATTGAAATTTTATGAACTGTGGGTGTAAGATAGTGTCATGGATATCTATTTGTTAGCTCTTTAGCTGTTTCCAGCGTAAAGTCCTCAAATTTTTCGACATAATATGGCATCCGGAAGTCAATCCTTGTAACAATATTGAACACCTCTCATTTACATCTTTATCAATCCAAACAACAAAAACATATTCTATGTCATTAGCACCATAGAATTGACAAAATTACAGCGAAGTCACTTCAGTATATTGGGCATAACACACAAATCTGACAAAATCTGAAAGTTAAATTAGCACTTCAAGAATCTTAGGAATGGCGTGAAAAAAATCACATTGCCTCAGGGGGGAAAAGAATTAAAACTAACTGAAATCCAAATTTATTTTCAAAATTAATCTTAAAGGCAATTCAGAACACTCACATCGTCTATATTATACCCAACTACTAAACACACAAATTACTGCACTAAAAATAAGACAATACCTTGCTTTTCAATAATTATACCAAGATTTGTCATTTTAAAATGTATTTAATTTTGTAATACTGATCTATTTTTACTCCACTTTTTCACTGATCCCACTGAAAAAAGCAAGTAACTATATTTTCTCTTTTTTTGATGCTATTCTCGAAGTGGGCCGTTAGAATGAAGCCAAGATTATTTTGTTTTCTAAAAAGCTTAACCTCTTAAGAGTTCATGTGTACACATTTGGCCAATGGCTGCGACCACTGTGATATGGTTGTACAGGTATTAATGAAAGAATTAGAAATGTAGTTAAATATATATATATATATATATATATATATATATATATATATATATATATATATAAACAAGCAGAGGGTCACCGGTGGGACATCATCAGAAACCTCATAGGAAACCAAGAAACATATAGATCTGCTTTCAACAACAACAGTTAGATAAAGAAGGCCAAAAAATCATCATGGGTGAGCTTAACTGAGTCTACAGAGGATGTCAATGAAGCTTCCAGATTTCGTAAAGTTCTTTCAAAGGACCCTAAAACTATTGGATCAGATCTCAGAAGGAGACGTTTAATAAGATCTGTGTTTGTTGAAACACGAGAATTTTTTCGGGTATGATTTAGTCGAAACTTTTTATATCTTTGTTGCCAGACCTCGCGGCCTCCCTATAATTCTCCAATCGATACAATGGCATATTTTATAATGTCGGGAGCATGTATTGAAATTTTATGAACTGTGGGTGTAAGATAGTGTCATGGATATCTATTTGTTAGCTCTTTAGCTGTTTCCAGCGTAAAGTCCTCAAATTTTTCGACATAATATGGCATCCGGAAGTCAATCCTTGTAACAATATTGAACACCTCTCATTTACATCTTTATCAATCCAAACAACAAAAACATATTCTATGTCATTAGCACCATAGAATTGACAAAATTACAGCGAAGTCACTTCAGTATATTGGGCATAACACACAAATCTGACAAAATCTGAAAGTTAAATTAGCACTTCAAGAATCTTAGGAATGGCGTGAAAAAAATCACATTGCCTCAGGGGGGAAAAGAATTAAAACTAACTGAAATCCAAATTTATTTTCAAAATTAATCTTAAAGGCAATTCAGAACACTCACATCGTCTATATTATACCCAACTACTAAACACACAAATTACTGCACTAAAAATAAGACAATACCTTGCTTTTCAATAATTATACCAAGATTTGTCATTTTAAAATGTATTTAATTTTGTAATACTGATCTATTTTTACTCCACTTTTTCACTGATCCCACTGAAAAAAGCAAGTAACTATATTTTCTCTTTTTTTGATGCTATTCTCGAAGTGGGCCGTTAGAATGAAGCCAAGATTATTTTGTTTTCTAAAAAGCTTAACCTCTTAAGAGTTCATGTGTACACATTTGGCCAATGGCTGCGACCACTGTGATATGGTGGTACAGGTATTAATGAAAGAATTAGAAATGTAGTTAAATATATATATATATATATATATATATATATATATATATATATATATATATATATATATATATATATATATATATATATATATATATATATATATAAACAAGCAGAGGGTCACCGGTGGGACATCATCAGAAACCTCATAGGAAACCAAGAAACATATAGATCTGCTTTCAACAACAACAGTTAGATAAAGAAGGCCAAAAAATCATCATGGGTGAGCTTAACTGAGTCTACAGAGGATGTCAATGAAGCTTCCAGATTTCGTAAAGTTCTTTCAAAGGACCCTAAAACTATTGGATGTATAAAACGACAAGATGGAAGCTGGACTGACTCTGGTTTAGACACTCTCACACTCACACTTTTCTAACTGCGCCGATGCGAGAAATGAACAATCGGCATAGCATCATAATCAGCACTGTGTGGCAGAGGATGTGAGTCTAATTTATAGGATTGGGGGAATAACTCTATCAAACCTTTCAAGTTACCGGGGCCGAACGGCATTATTCCCGCCATGTCACAGCATGCATTGACGGCAATAGTACCAATACTGGAAGTGATTTGTAAGGTTTTTTTGCGTCTCTCTCATATTCCATCACTGTGGAGGGAAGTTACAGGCGGGGAATCCGAGTCACGTACTTCCAAAAGACTACAGGCCTATCAGTCTTTCGTCCTTTCTATTGTAAACTCTGGAGATTCTAATAGATATTTTTAACTTCAATAAGCGCTGCTCAACATGCCTATATGAAAGGAAAATCGGTTGAAACACGCAACATGAGTCGGGAAATTTGTGGAGAAGAACACCTCGACATAGAAGGGGCATTCATCAATGTCACACTTGATGCAATTCATGCTTCCCTTACAAAATTTAGTTTACCACCACACCTAATTGAATGGGTTGGTGTTATGCTCAGTAGCAGAATCATGAACTCATGCATCGGGGAGTGCTCCGTCAGGAAATCGGTTACTAGGGGCACCCCGCAAGGAGAGGTTCTATCACCATTACTCTGGCCATTGGTGATAAACGACATACTAAAAGACCTGGAACATGACGGAACAAAAGTAGTCGCTTACGCTGATGATGTGGTTCTGCTAATTGCGGGTAAATTCTTGCAAACTGTTTAAGATCTTGTGCAGTGAATTCTTGGGCTAAAACTGGCTCGTGCTTTTTACTAGGACGCGGAAAATCCCAGGTTTTTCGCTACCTTTGTTGGATGGAGTTAGGTTAAGCCTATCAACGGAAACTAATTACCTCGGTACCATCCTTGGCAAAAAGAAATACATTGGAAAAGGAATATCGAGGAGCGAGCGAAGAGAGGCTTAATCGCACTCCATTCTTGCAGAAACTCCTTAAGAAAGAGCTGAGAACTTAAACCATATATAATCAAATGGATACATGAATCAATATTTTGACCAATTCTAACTTATGGAGGGCTAGTATGGTGGGTAAAACTATCTTCAACAAAAGCATTGATAAAGTTCAAAGAACAGCGTAGTTACTAATTACAGGTGCGTTTAAAAGAACGCCTAGCCTGCACTCGGAACAAATTGCTAGATGTGGCCTGCGGCTCAATGAACTAGGTTAATGGTGGAGTCAGTCCTTTGGGCACTCTGGCCCTGACCATTGTGGCAATGAATCAGCAGATGAATGGACCAGACGCGGATCTTCTAAGTATTGCCGAAACACTATTTTGGGAGATTCAATCAGAACTGGCTGACTGGAAAGGGATGTAATGTCTGCAAATAAGTATGGCCAGTGGTCTTCGAGGTTATGGTGGGTCTAATTACGGGAGATATATATATATATATATATATATATATATATATATATATATATATATATATATATATATAGGATGCTAGCAATTGCGCTTAACCAGTATCCTCTGTCTGTCTCCAACTGGGTAAGCACAATTGCTAGCAGACCACAGATATATATATATATATATATATATAGATATATATAGATATATATATATATATATATATATATATATATATATATATATATATATATATATATATATATATATATATATATATATATATATGTGTGTGTTAGGCTTTTTTTGCCTCACAATTTACCTGCAAAATTTGGCTTGCTTCAAAAGCAGTTCCTGGCAAAAGAATAACTGGCGATGAAACGTGACCAGCTTCGACGCATAACATGTTAGGAAATTCATCATCGCCAAAGTCACCAATTTCCCTTGCTTTATCAATCCATGGATTCCAAATGACGGTGTCTGGAAAATTATATTTATGTATACGCATTTTGCGCCCCGACACAACGTTCGTTATAATATGTTCCTGAGGTGTGTGTTGATAAATACGATCTGTCCATTCATTGACGGTTACTACTTCGCGACCTTCTTGATACATGGCATCGTTGCGGGTCTACAATATTTAACAATTATTTTCATATTAATGAATGGGAGATATATTTTGTGGTATTTTCAATTACCTTGTCCATAAATGTGCAACCATGCAAACCAGTTATTTGACAGCGTCTTACATCAGGAACTTTGAGGTAAGTGTGCAGCAGTAAATTAAAAGTCATTGTTAATTCTTTGCTAGGATTATAAACTCCTATATGGAAATGTAGTTCTTTTTCGCGTAATATTAAACGGTATGTGATACGAAATCTGCAAATATATTTGAAAAAAACAAAACAAAAAATATAGTGATATTACACTCTTGATTTCATGTCTACGTACTGATAATTCCACATAGATCGGGTAAATTCGTTGTCCATTAAAGAAAAAATGGCTTCTACGTCACCATTATGCAGTCTTTCGGGAGGTCGTTCTAAATTCCATCGTGTGATACGAGCAAAACCATGCTGTGCTCCAAATGACCATGGACCGAATTGGGCTACAAAATAGAAATATAGAGATTATGGTGGAGTTCAACGTCTAAAGGCGAACAGAATAACGAACTTGAAAAACATTTGATGATAATTTTATTTTTTTTAATTAATACTTACGAAATACGAACGGTATGCCCCCACGTATCGCCTTCTTTCCGTCAAAAGAGGCCAATTTGCTGAAAAACACCAATTGTTATTTATTGTTTTTTTTTTTCTAATAAATGATGATTTAAAATAATGTTCTAAAATTAAATATTTTATTGCAGAGTTTTAAGTCAAATATTAAGAATGGAAGGATTGAAGTCTCAGTGTTGTTAATTTGAAATCGTATAGAAATTATATCTTAACCTGAACCGATGTTCACTAAATTAGATTGAGGCAAAAATATTAGTTTCTCTCTCTTAGTAAATATCATGGTACAATGAAGACAAGGTAGGACATAGCAATTACATGAGTACAATTATTTCTTTTGGTAGTCTTGTAATGTCAGAACATGTATACAGTTTCTGTATATGTATGTATTGTTTCGAATAATAAACAAAATAATTTCAAATTCTGCTGAAATTTAAAATCATATTACAGCATTTGGGCAGAAAAAATGTTTCTGTTTTGGGATGAAAGACAATTGCAATTGTATTAGAGCTCGATGTTGTGAAAAATTCTCGACGTTAGATGCGTATCCATTCTGCGTGTATAAAAATGTTGGGAAAAATGGTAAAAAATAACATGTTGCATTTGTTATTAGAATTTTAAATTAGAAGTTATAAGGCCCTAGCTTCGGGATTGTATTTTTCAAATGCAATCATTCCCATGGTAAATATAATTGCATAAATATAAAATCGTTTAAGTCATATCGGAGCTATAGCTATATTTCAAGCTGTTTGATTCATACTCTTTTTTGCCTAACTATACAAACAAACGCATATAAAATTAAAGAAAAATATGAGCTGACCAAATGTGACCCTATTTCCATATAATTTGGCTTATTTTTTATTTCTATATCGGGCCGGTTACACAGTTTAAGACTATTGATGTTTTCCTTCTTTCGTATGCTATTGTTGTAGTATTTTCAAAACATTATGGGAACAATATTTATAGTTTCGAAATAGGTACAATCTCAATGTAAAGAAATTTATGTTAGTTATTCCGCTTATATGTCAAGAACCGCTGGATTGATTTTGATCATTCTCCCCAATTCGGAATGGCCTGTTCACAAAAAAAGATAAAATCTAAGAAAATCTACTTTATGCCCACTATTTCGATTTATCTAAAATCCTTATATTTGCCAAATAATGAAGATATCGGTTTTAAAATTATTACACGACGTACTGTTAACATACCCTTTAATCCTAAGTATTTATTTGGGGGATGAGGAACTGACCACGCCTACTTTTTAATCTATATATAAACCTTAAACCACCAGCTGGAACTATTTGGATATTTTTTTAAATGTTCGTCCTACCCCGATTTAGGTTTTTATGCAAAGAAAAAGTGACCACGCCCAATTTTGCGTTTCGATTTATCTAAAATCCTAATATTTCCAAAATCATGAATATATCTGTTCCACAGTTAGTATACGACGTAATCTTGACTCTCTCTCTCCAACCCTAGGTATCTGTTTGGGGTCAGAGGAACTGGCCACACCTATATAAATTTATATGTCAAATATTTGAAAAAGTATAGTAACACATCAGTAGAGAACGGTTGGGCCGGTTTGACTCAAATTTTCTTTTGGTTATTTGTAATTACAGTGGAAGTGGTTGTCATGAAAGAAAATTTTGAGAAAAATCGTGGAACTGAAAAATTGACTGCTCTATTATGATATGGAATTTTGTGTAGAATTGTTTCAGAATGCCTTTTGGAATTGAAAATTCTTATTAAAAAAAAAACGAAAAAATCTATAAAGTTTTCATATTTTCTATACATGCTGTTATATGGTCGCCATACCCAAATTTTAAATTTTGATTTGATATGGAGATAATCCATCCCTTCGAACTCGAAATGCAAAATTTATTGGGACTTCAATCAGCGAAATACCGAATATGAAGAGGCACTGTAATATGCGGACTATACAAAATAGTGGAGTGAATTGAAAATATAGTAAGAAAAGTATTCATATACTCGGAAAATTCTTCTGAACCCTTAAAAGTAACCTTAAATTATAGGTAATGTTATACGGGCACTATGCGCTATCGTCAGTAATTACACTGCGCCGCAGATAATCTTGGGTTTAGGAAATTTTTCGGTTGGTAAATAAAAATCCCAAAAGAGGGTTCCCGGATCAAACTTTTTTAGAGTCAATTTTATATAGCTTAAACATACACAAAAGGCCGCAAATATTTTCCCTATACTCCGCAAAAGATACGATGAAGTTTTAAATTTGAAACAGTCCTAGGGGTAACATTTGGAATCATTTGTACAAAATATGTATCTATTATAAACAGTTAATGTATACATTTTAATATATATGCTATATTATTTAGATTTTTAACTGTAAAACTAAAACCTCTTACTGAAAAATAGGATCAGGTTTTTTGAAAGACGTATTTATTTCTATTTAATCGAGTCATAATTTATACTAAAAATTGTGCCACTTATGTGAGCCAGATTTGTGAATTATTATGCTTAAAAACTATACATTAAGACTAAAACTATGGGCCTTTAAGATTAATTTTGACAATAACATTAGATTTCACTTAAAGTTTTAATTGTCTTCCCCCCTGTATCCCCCAATATGTTTTTTTCATGCCATTAGCAATGGTCCTAAGATTCTATAAGTGCTAATTTAACTATCTAACAGATTTTGTCAGATGTGTATGTTACACCCAAAATACTGAAGTGACTTCGCTGCAATTTTGTCAGTTTTATGGCGAGCTTATCTGCGAAGATAACAGGGATTGATAAAGATGTAATTGAGAGGTCTTCAATATTGTTACAAGCATTGTCTTCTGGGTACAATATTAATTTCAAAAAATGTAAGGCCCTTGCACTGCAAACTTCTAAAGAGTTAACAAATAGATATCCATGGTACTATCTTCCACCCTCAGTACATAAAATTTTAATACATGCACCCGACATGGCATCGATTGGAGAATTATCGGATGAACTCCACAGTCTCCTCCGATAATTCTCTAACAAACATAGAAACAAAGATACAAAAAAAATTTAGACTAAATCATTCCGAAAAAATTCTCATGTTTCAATAAATACAGATCTTATTAACCGTCTTTTTGTGACCAAGACCCTGGTAATAACTAAAATCAAAAATTACCAACATTTGAGGAATTTGAAAGGGGCTATATCAATTGAGGGGGGCTATATCACAATGTAGACCAACCTGATACATATTTTGTACAAATGATTCCTCATGTAAACCCCTAGGTATTTTTCAAATTTAAAATTTTATCGTAACTTTTGCGGACTATAGGCAAAATATTTGCGGCCCTTTGTGTATGGTTAAGCTATATAAAATTGACTCTAAAAAGTTTGATCTGGGAACCCTCTTTTGGGATTTTTATTTACCAACCGAAAAATTTCTTAAACCCAAGATTATCTGCAGCACAGTGTAATTACTGACGATAGCGCATAGTGCCCATATAACGTTACCTATGATTTAAGGTTACTTTTAAGGGTTCAGAAGAATTTTCCGAGTGTATGAATCCTTTTCTTACTATATTTTCAATTCACTCCACTATTTTTTATAGTCCACATAATACAGTGCCTCTTTATATTCGTTATTTCACTGATTAAAGTCCCAATGAATTTTGCATTTCGAGTTCTAAGGGATGGATTATTTCCATATCAAATCAAAATTTTAAATTTGGGTATGGCGACCATATAACAACATGTATAGAAAATATGCAAACATTCTCGATTTTTTCGGTTTTTTCAATACTAATTTTTAATTCCAAAAGGCATTCTGAAAAAATTCTACACAAAATTCCATATCATAATAGATCAGTCAATTTTTTCAGTTCCGCGATTTTTCTCAAAATTTTCTTTCATGACAACGTTTCCACTGTAATTACAAATAACCAAAAGAAAATTTGAGTCAAACCGGCCCAGCCGTCCTGTACTGATGTGTTACTATACTTTTTAAAATATTTTACATATAAATTTTTATAGGTGTGGCCAGTTCCTCTGACCCCAAACAGATACCTAGGGTTGGAGAGAGAGTCAAGATTACGTCGTATACTAACTGTGGAACAAATATCTTCATGATTTTGGAAATATTAGGATTTTAGATAAAGCGAAACGCAAAATTGGGCGTTGTCACTTTTTCTTTGCATAAAAACCTAAATCGGGGTAGGACGGACATTTAAAAAAATATAGCCAAATAGTTCCAGCCGGTCTCAACTGATTCAATTAACAACGAACAACAACTGGTTTATATATATATATATTAAAAAGTAGGCGTGGTCAGTTCCTCAGCCCCCAAATAAATGCTTGGGATTGGAGGGAATGTCAACTGTACGTCGTGTAATAATTTTAAAACCGATATCTTCATTATTTGGCAAATATAAGGATTTTACGTAAATCGAATTAGTGGGCGTAAAGTAGGTGTGGTCAATATTTTTTCTTTAAAAATCTAAGGCGGTGTATGACGAACGTTTGTATAAAAAAATAAAAATATATGCAAATCGATTCAGCCGTTCTCAACAGATTACATTACCAACGAGCAACAATTGATTTTTATATATATAGAGAACTTTGTTATCTTATTTAGTTTACCAAAAATGTGGAGATAATATAATTTGGAATGGATTTGTATAAGAAATACTTCTTTTGTTGGAGGAACCTTACAGGGGGACTCTACCTAAAGGTGGGCCGTTGCAAATAATTTTCAAAAATATTATTCTTTAACTCTTTAGAACGTAAAGTGGTCAAATTTTGGAGAATGGCAGCGACCACTGCAGCGACGGTGGGTGAACGCCTTATATATATATATATATATATATATATATATATATATATATATATATATATATATATATATATATATATATATATATATATATATATATATATATGTATATATATATATATACTTAAACACCAAATCGGATGAAACACATATATATGGCAGCTATATCTATACCGATTTTCACTAAATTTTGGGTTGGAATCGGTGGTACCTGACAAAATTCACTCAATTAAGGCTGATATTACACAATTG